GCTTCCTTATGATAAAACAAGTTCAAGGCAGTCAAGGTACTGAGTGAATCCTCATTGTTATACAAAACAGAAACATCAAAGAACACGACACATAGTATTAAGATAATACACCTTGCCAAGTGCCAATGGCTCATGCCTGTAATTCTAGCTACTTAGGAAGCTGAGATCTAAAGATCAAGGTTTGAAGCCAGCCCACGCAAGAAAGTTTTAACACTCTTCTCTCCAATTCACTTAACAAAGAGCAGGAAGTAGAGCTGTGGCTAGAGTGGTAGAGTCCTAGCCTTGAGCAAAAATGCTAACGGCCAGTACCCAGGTGCTGTACTGGGTTCAAGTCCTGGTACTGATGGTATGAAGTTAGTGCCTTCTTATAAATTCTTTTGTTATTAATACATGTTTTAATGTCTCATTATTAGTAAGTGTCCTGTCACATTCAAAAAGTTGCACGAGGGCCAGGCATGGTGGGACAGGCTTGTACTACCAGCTATACAGGAGGTAGAAAGCAGGGGCATCAGAGCTCAAGATCAGCCTGGGCATAAAGTTAGAAAGATACCATCTCAACAAATGAGCCCTACGTGATGATTCACACCTGGAATCCCAGCTATGTGGGAGGCTCAAAGTCTGAGACTGGGTCCAGGCAAAAACATAAGACCCAATCCCCCAAAACAACCTAAAACAAAAGGGCTGGGAGGTGTGGTTCAAGCAGTAGAACATCTGCCTAGCAATCAGGAGGCCCTGACTTCAAACTGAAGTACCATCAAGAAAAGGGAAGAAAGGAAGGGGGAAGAGACACGAGGAAAGAGAAGGGGAAGGGATGTGGGAGGAAGCAAGGAGTTTCACGAATGAATTTGGACACAGGAGTGAACACAGTAAACATCCATGGGTGTACAGAGAGCATTACCCATTAACCCTTTCAGGAGCGTTTGTGACTAAGAGAATCAGGTCCAAGCTGTGACTCTTGTCTTGCACTTTAATATGTGTGACTATTATTTGATCAGTAACAAAGTTAACTGCAAATTCAAATATGTCATTTTCTTTTTTTTGTTACAAAATTGTAAAAAGTGACTCAAATACTGATCCTTTTTCAAAGCCGCTTATCTGTGAGGCTACTTCCTTCTCCTTTTTAATGTTCAGCTTTCACTGGAGCATTCTTACATGTCATGGCCACCTCTTCATTGTCAACAACTACCATAACAACCTTCTCAAATGTTCTATGGCCCCATAAGGCTTGTCAGGCACCAGTGGCTCAAGCCTGTAATCCTAGCAACTTTAGAGGCTGAGATCTAGGATCTCTGTTTAAAGCTAGCTTGGGGAGAAAAGTCCTGTGAGACTCTTATCTCCAATTGATCACAGAAAAAGCTGGAAGTGGGGCTGTAGCTCAAGTGGTAGAGTGCTAGCCTTGAGCAAAAGGAGCTTAGGGACAGCGTCAAGGACAGAGGGGTGAGTGGGGTGGAGGGAAGGGAAGGAAGAAAGAACAATGCTACTACTCCAGAGGGCCATTATTAGGATGGATGACTCTGAAAGCCTTAGAATGCACTTTCCCATTCTGACTACTTTGACAAAGGGCTGAGACGCTGTTTCTGATTATTCAAAAAAACGTGTGAGGTTGTGTGGTGAACTACGCTAACTGACTTTCACTGTTCACATCAATGTGAATTAGACCACCATGTAAATGAGGACTGCTGTCTATCCTGAGTATTCAAGAAGAAACTCCTGGATGCAAATCACTGAGTCCATCATAAACACAGATCAAATGGCCAAAGAGGCTTGCTTCACTCTGGGAGCCATGCAAATCCAGGACACTGGCTGCTCTAGATAGAGTCTCAAGAATGAAGTCTTTATTCACTGCGAAACAACCCAATGCATTGTCAGGAACTTTAAAGAGCGTGAGTAGAGATCAGTGAAACGCATGTACGTGCCAAAGAAGCAGAGCTAGCGACAACGCAGGGCCACGCAGACAAACGAAGGCTTTCTTGGCCAAGCTGGAAATATTTACAGTCCTACTGTACTCCTGACTATCGTGCCATTGATAGCTGGAAACCCAGCTGTCATCTCAGACAGCAAGGGAATTCTGCAAATCTGGCAGCCGTCCCTCAGCTGTATCCTTAATACCCCTCTTAAGAGTCTGCTACACTGGAAGGTTACTCTGGAGTTCAGGGAGGTCAAGAGATAGTTTCATGAAGAAACACATCTCTCTCTCTCTCTTTCTCTCTCTCTCCCCCCTCCCTCCAAAGAAAATCAGAATTGGAAAATTTGAATCTACAGAATGGAGACTGAAAAATGTACCTCAGGCCAGGCGCCAGGAGCTCACGCCTATACTCCTAGCTACTCAGGAGGCTGAGATCTGAGAATCACAGTTCAAAGCCAGCCTGGGCAGAAAAGGCCCCATGAGACTCTCCAATGAACCACTCAAACCACTGGTGCTATGTCTCAAAGTGGTAGAGTGCTAGCCTTGAGCAGAAAAGCTCAGGGACAATACTTAGGCCTTGGGTTCAAGCCCCACAACTGACAAAAGAAAAACAATGTATCTCAGAAGTTAAGCTATTTGAAGTCTTTCTGTCTTAAATCCCTGGCCTCAGTCTTCCTCACAAGGATCATTATTTGCTCACTCATTTCTAACGTGGAGTCATCTCCACGCCTTTTCCCTGCCTTTGGCCTCCTTGAGGTGGCTTGCCAAGATGGTGGATTCTACTTGTTCAGTGGAAATCCACTCTAAATTTGATCTTCTGGCCTGGAGCCTCACGCAGTCCTCACTTCTTATACTGGACTAGGAAGATAACCCCAGCTTCTATCACACTATTCATTTCCTGGCCATACAACCACGCTCCCCTCAGCGTGGATTCTGACTTTCAGTCACACATTTTCCAAGTCTGACTTTCCTGGATCTTCTTCAAGCTGTTCTTTACATCTGGAGTTCACCAGGCATACATCTTTTCAATACAAATCTAGTATGTGTGTGGGTGGGTATGTGTGCCAGTGCTCAACTTTAGGTCTAGATGCTGCCCCTTAGCCTTTTCTGCTCAAGACTGGTGCTCTATTGCTCGAGCCACAGCTCCATTTTCATCTTTTTTGCTGGTTAATTGGACAAAGAATTTTTCTGGGCTGGCTTCAAACTAGGATTCTCAGATCTGAGCCTCCTGAGTAACTAGGATTACAGGTATGAGTCACCAGTGCACAGGAAAATCTAATTTATGTTGTAGAGTAGATACCAACAACACATCCTCAAGGATCTCTTCCTCCATGGCTATTACTTGATGCCATATTCTGTATCTCCCAATTACACTTTCCTTGACAGCAATTACGATCTGCTAAGAAGTTGTCATTTAGCTTAGAAATCCTTTCTTGCTATTGCATGTACTGTTATTTTAGTTCAACTAATACTTATGAAGAACTATCAAGCCAGGTACAATGGTTTATGTTTGTAATTCATTTGCTTGGAAGGTAGAGATTAGGAAGATTGGAGTTCAAAGACATTTCAGAAAAAGATGACCCTCATCTCAACAAATAATCCAGACATGGTGTCACAGGTCAGTCATTCTTGGCTATATATCAGAAGACTTCAGCTTTGTTTAAGCAATAATCCTAAGACCCCATGTGGAAAAAAAAAAGAAAAACGAAAGAAAAAAAGGCCCAGGGGTGGGTTCGAGTGAGAAAGTACATGCCTGCAAGTGCAATAAGGCCTTGAGTTCAAACTCCAAAACAAAACACAGAGCAACAACAAAACATTCATCTTCCAGGCAGATACTGTAACGCGCATCGGTAATACAGAGGAGAATAAAACAAGGATGACCCTTAAAATGACACTAAATTACCAAAATCATCCCTGAATCTTCATAGCATACTGCCTAGTAGGTAGCTAGAAAAACTGCCCTGTCAAAGTACTACAAATTGCCTCAGAACAATTACACTTCTTTCCTCAGGAGATGGAGGCAGGAGGATTTTGATTTGAGTCCAAGCAAAGGTAGCAAGACCTTGTCTCATAAACAAAACAGTGGGAAAAGAAGGTTAGCCGAAAAAAGGGCTGAGGGCATAGCTCAAGTGGTACAGTGCTATATGCAAGGCTTGGGGCTCAATCCCCAATACCCTCTCCACCAAAAATCTATTAATAAATGAGATCATCTTAAATGGAAAATTCAAAGGCTCTAAAGGCCTAACCGTTAAGTCCCAAACGCAAACCTGTGTGCACTTTAATAAAAATAGAACTAGAACAAATCTTTCCATTCAAATACCTCAGAGCCAAACTTTCCATTTTTAAAAAGATATTTATAAGTTTATTTATTTAAAAAAAAAGACAAAGGAGAGAATAGAAGGAAAAAATATCAGGATTTCCAGTAGAAGAAAAGGATTAAGTAAATGAAGAAGAAAAAAAGACCATCCTTCTTTTCTTTTCTTTTTTCCCTTTTCTGGGGGGTGGATTTGAACCTACTCTTTTAGAACCTCAGGAGAACACGCATAAGCTTGTGTTCAGGTAACACAAGTGTGACCTCATAGAAAGATGACAGAATATATAGCTGTGAGCTGAGTTGTCTCGTGCTACTAACATCAAGAAAGGGAATGAGCCAGGTAAGATTTCCCACAGGCCCATAGCCTTGACTGAGCCACAGGGATAGAAGCAAACACACTTTAAAGACAGGAAATTCTGGTGTGTCTCCTTCCTTCCTTCCTTCCTTCCCTCTTTCCTTCTTTCCCTCTGGTCTCTCTTTATCTTCTTTCTTTTGTTCAACAGTATCAATGCTTAAACTCAGGACCTTATTTAACTTTCTTATGGCTGATGCTCTACCACTTGAGCCATGCCTCTCGCCAGCACTTTGCTGCTGAATTGGAGATGAGATCTGGCCGACTTTTCTGCCTATGTTAGCTTTAAACCCTGATCCTCCAGCTCTAGTCCCTGGCAGAGATGAGAACTTCTCTCTATATGTCCTAAATGAGCATAAGGTAATCATAACTGAGTTCCAACATCCCTGAACCGTGTCTCGGTTCCCCTCCCACAATCCCCTACTAACCTCGTAGGCATCCTTGATGTTCAAGGGCTCCCCCAGGGCTGCCACATGTCCCACAATGCCTTTGTTCCACTCTAAGCGGATGCAGTTATTGGATGCCTCTTCCAGTGTGGATCCTTCAGCAACGTCGAAAAGGCGGCTGATAAGAAACTTGTCATTGGAGCTGTCCTCACACACCAGGAACAGAGAATAGCGATCCGCGGAGATGAGCCCGTGGATGTGCAAGAAGATCTTGTGACAGAGCGCGGTGACATCTAAATGGCTGGAAATATCCTTCACTAGTTCCAAGAGTCTGGAGCACTGGTCGGCTTCATCATGGTCAAAACGTGGGGGGGTGAGAGGCATGTGTTCCTTCTTTTCTGAGTCTGACAGGAAACTCACAGTTCCCTCAGAATCCTTCACCACTATGGGTCTAAGTGGCCGGTCAAACTCAGAGGCTGAGATTTTCCTGGTTGGAGTTCCGGGAGCACTGTTGTCCGCACGAGGACTCTGTTGCACAGGGCACGAACAGGATTCTGGGTGACCTCGAATGCCTTCCTTGCACACAGGAATGGGGTGAACTCTCTCAGCAAACCATGCGTTGACCATTTCT